AGAGAGAGAGAGAGAGAGAGAGAGAGAGAGAGAGAGAGAGAGAGAGAGAGAGAGAGAGATGGAGAGATAGAGAGAGAGATAGATAAATAGATAGGGTGTCATAGATAGACAGATAGATAGATAGATAGATAGATAGATAGATAGATAGATAGATAGATAGATAGATAGATAGATAGATAGATAGATAGATAGATGGAGAGATAGATGATAGATGGAGAGATAGAAAGAGAGAGAGAGAGAGAGAGAGATAGATAGATAGATAGATAGATAGATGGAGAGATAGATGATAGATGGAGAGATAGATAGAGAGAGAGAGCGAGAGAGAGAGAGAGAGAGAGAGAGAGAGAGAGAGATAAATAGATAGAGTGTCATAGATAGACAGATAGATAGATAGATAGATAGATAGATAGATAGATAGATAGATAGATAGATGGAGAGATAGATAGATAGATAGATAGATAGATAGATAGATAGATAGAGATAAATAGATAGGGTGTCATAGATAGACAGATAGATAGATAGATAGATAGATAGATAGATAGATAGATAGATAGATAGATAGCATTGTAAACAAAGCAGTGACTTCACAAGAGATTCTTAATCCAGCTGGGCTCAGTACTGTACAAGCTTCTATGGAACGCCAGTAGGTATACTCATGAACAGACATCACATTGAAGTTCATGGAGCTGACTAATGCTTGGTCAGTACTGTGCCCAACCAGTTAGGGGAAAGCTTCTGCTTTTAGTTTCGTGTCTCTACTTACAGTGAGCACTGGGGATGTTGAGAAGGACCTCAGACTTAGACTGAGAAAGAGAGGGTCAGTAGGTACAAATTAGGCTCTGCTCCATGCACATGTGCTGACAGGAAACATGCTGACTGCAGAAGAAGAGAGCAGAGTTATCAGAGTTGATGACCAATCAATGTGTTTCTGCATCTTCATTGTCCAATAAGCAGGCTATAGGCGGGGGTGATATTGTGTTCTTTAACAGAGAAAGAAGTCCAACCTCCTGGCTGTTTTTTCTAGCAGAGGTGTATAAATCACAAAAGTGGCTGGAGAGGGTTTCAAACCCTTTAGCCGATACGACAGCTCAAATTCAGTATGTGTAGTTTTGTTGTATGTTTGGTTGTTTGACTGGAGTTCAGCATTAAATGTTGGGGTAAGGTTATGTTTAACCTTCCTGGCGGTATTCCCGAGTGTAGCTCGGGGGTTATTTTTCCATACCATAAGTGGTAACCCCGAGCTACACTCGGGAAAGCCACATAGCATTTACTTACCTTGTCCCTCGAGCCGCGCTGTGTTCTGCGGCTGATGCCGGCTTCAGGTCTCGTTCACACCTAGGCGTATTGCATATGCGCGTCTGTCGTGCGACCGCCGCGCGTTTTCTACCGCGATTCGCGGTAAAAAAGTTGCGCGCCCGTCGCGCGTTTCCGAAGGCTACTTGGCTGTATCCCAATGGAAACGCGCAACAAAACGGCCCAAAGTAGTACCTGTACCTTTTCAGGCGTGGGCCGTTTTGTAGCGCGTTAGGGACAGGCGGAAATACGCCAAGGTGGGAACGAGACCATTGAATACAATGGGATTTATATTTTTGAGCCTTTTGTAGAGCGTTCGTCGAGCGTAGAATGCGCTACAAAACGTTCAGGTGTGAACGAGGGCTCAGTCTTCCGGGTTCCGTTGCTTGTGAGCGTACGCGTTGCAGGGGGGCGGAACTGACGGGATATTAAAAAAAAACGACAAAGACGAAAAAAATGCGAAAAAAAATTGACCGAAAAATTACATGAAAAAAATTAAAAATCATACCGCCAGGGAGGTTAAAGGAGAACTATGAGGTGAGTGCTTTTCACTCACCTCATAGTTCTAGCCAACCTGTGACAATGAGACTGTCACAGGTCGGCTTAGTAGATCGGGAGGTGAGCGAACATATACCGGCGTTCGCTCACCTCTCGATCCTGTCACGGCTCTCTGCCATGACAGGGGAGGGGCTGGATTCCCCCCTCCCCGCTCTGATCCGCCAGCACTGATGGGCGGAACGGACGGAGGAGGGGGCGGGTACAGCTGGCTCTGCCTCTAGCTAGGCAGAGCCAGCTGTCAGTCATGCAGCTGGGCGGATCAAGACAGTATACCGGCGTCTCAGTATACCGCGAGCTACAACTTGCGGTATACTGAGCCTAGGGTATCGGGAGGACGCTAGTTTGTGTCCTCCCGTTACCCTAAGGAGAACTATGGGGAAAAGCCTTAACCCCCCTTAGTTCTCCTTTAAGGGTGAATCAATATTTTGTAGGTTTAAAATACAAATATATTTGCTGTGCCACCTGCCTAATGATCTGTGGAACAGACAGGAGATATATATAGTTCCTAATTAAGAACTTCTTCTTGATGGCCTTATTCACACGGACATGCACAGCCACACAATATGCACATCCCTGCACAAACCTGTGGGACAGCTGGTGCGTGTAGCCGCATGCAGTCACTTGTTCATTTCAATGACAGGACATGGCTGTATGTGGTTACACACTGACCCAAACTTGCACATCCATACAGGATCCGATTAGGGTTGCCATCTTTTCTTCAAGTCAAACCTGAACACTCTAGTGGTGCGTGTGGCAATGTATTTTTGAGAATATAGAGCAGAGAGCAAGGAGAGTCAGCCAGGGGAGGTAGTAAGGAGACCGGCTATAGAGGGCTACAAATCCCACCAATACATTATACAGCAATACAAAATAACATAAAGCTACATACTCTATGTTGTTCCGGGGTGGCGACCCTGTTGTCTCCAGGGTCTCAGTTGGCCTGTGTGGGCTCTCATCAGGGCTCTGCAGGCTCTGAGGTGGACTCCATGGGCTCCCAGGCGGACTCTGCAGGCCCTCAGGTGGGCTCTATGCGCTCTCAGGTGGGCTTTGCGGATTCACAGGTGGGCTATGCGGATTCTCAAGTGGCTGTGAGGGGTCTTAGATGAGCTATGCCGGCTTACAAGAGTGCAATGTCTCACCAGGGGTCCGGGGGCCTGCAGCATGGTGTCGGTAAGACAGAGGAGGAGATGAGTAGGCCAGTACCTGTTTACAGGCGCCCATGGCTCACAGTAGGATACCGCTTCAGGCGGATGCGGCTCCCTGAGGTCCCACGCTTGCTGGGGACCTCAGCAGCAACATCTAAAGTGCCGGTATCAGGACTTATCAGGCACCTGGCCTGCCACCCAGACACAACACTCAAAAACCGGACTGTCCGTGTGAGTCCCGGACAGGTGGCAACCCTAGATCCGATGCAAGCCCTTGGATGCAGACAGCACATGTGAATGGGGCCTAAATGTAATTTCTTAGACTCCAGCCTCCTAATGGTGAATCAGCATCATCACCTCTGTCCAGTGAGCAGGCAGTGGACCCAGAAAGCAGTAATGCCAAACCAGAAAGTAGCAGAGTGACTGTGTTGATTAGCAGAGGTGTCTGTATAGCAAGCATGGCCGGCCATAATTACAACTCCTTTGGCATGAAAACCAGTAAGCATTAATGCATTTCACCCACATCATTTTTGTTTGCCTGGAGTTCCACTTATTTTTTTAGTATCAAAACCCAGCTTTTGGTGTTTTCTTTTTTTAAATCTTTTTTGGAACAGAAAGCTCCTGCATTCTTGTAACACTCCTGACTACTATGCACAGTGGCTTAGTGGTTAACACTTCTGCTTTGCAGCACTGTGAGTCCCAGGTTTCCTCCCACACACCAAAGACATGCTGGTAGGTTTATTGGCTTCTGTGTAAATTTGTCCTGTATGTGGGTGCAATAGGGACCTTAGATTGTAACCTCCTCGAGGGCAGGGATTGATGTAAAAGCGCAGTGTAACTTGTCAGTGCTATATAAATACCTGTAATAAATACAATAACACCATAGAGTGTGAAGCCAGCTTAATTAGGCATACCTTTACTTATACCTGCTGTTATATGAAGACGAACAGATCCATTTTACATAATAGTCAATCACAACCATGCTTTGTGTTTGAAATAACATTAGTTTACATTACACCATCTGAATGGCAAATACAATTGGTACTTTAACATCCTGATAACTCTATATGGAACAAAAAAGCCCAATGCCATATACCTAGGTATTAATTGGGAACATTCGTTTGGGTTAAACAAACACTGCCCTAATATGTAAGCCTACCATCTCTGGTTCTTTCAGAAAAGAGTGAGATTTAGAAACACGTAGCATCTATTGAAGCCTGAGGTCACTTATAAACAACAGTTATCACCAAATCCTGGTGCAGTAGGTTGATATGGAGATGGTGACCTAATGCTTGGGTACTTCAGGGTCTATTTCCATAAGGTCCATATAAAGCCTACATAATTATTAGTCTTACAAGGACCTCAGTACATTACAAAGGACATTTGTATGCCTTATATGGTAATATTCATGCAATATTGAGGAACATTAGTAAGCATTAGTATTAGGCCCCATTCACACAGGGCGTTCTGGGATTCCTGCAGCAAGAACCTGTGGCAGGAATCCTTGGTGTCTCATTCAGATGCAGCCGCATCTGAATGGGGTCTAAGTTCCTTAAATCCGCCCTTCTCACACTTTCCTGTATTTCCCAGTCCCTTTTCTCTGCCCACATTAAGATCTGCCTGTGCCACTTTTCATGTCCTATTCTTTACAACCCAAACCTCCTTTTTTAATTTGTTAGTTTGTGTTAATATTTGTAGCTCATAGTGTCCAAACTAGATTATGAGTTCTGTCAACATACAAACAATTCCCAGCTTGATTTTCCAAGTTGCACATATGTTTGGTGTTATTTGTGACTTTGTTCCAAGAAAGGGAGCTACTTCGCCAATGTGTTTCCTTACCGCTAGACAGATGCATTTTATTAAAATATTTTCATTGGTCCGCTTTGTATGTCTGTCCAGGGTAAAATGAAATATGGCTATTTTTGTGTTAACTATATTTGCCAATATAAGGAAAGTTCCATCCCAATTTTGGAAGCAACATAATCCTGGCACTGCCCTCCTGCTATCTGGTCATAGCACAAACATGCAGTATGATGAAAGAGATATCCTTTGACATTGTCATTCACTGTGCTGCAGGAATTCCTGAAAGCAATGGTGGTGGTTTGTATCGCACAGTACACCTTTGTGAATTTGTCACTGGAGCAAGGAGACTAGAAGACACAATTGAAGGTGAGAACATTTGCTTTGTTGTGCCTTTAATAGTGCGACTAAATGTTCTTACTTGGCTTCTTGGTAGGGACTACAATGCATATTTGTACAATGCTGAAAATGTTTAGGCTATAAAAATCAATTATAATATTTATAACAATAATAAGGATGCTTCTTGTGGGTTTTGGCAATCTAGACCTAAGCCAAGGGGATTGTAGCTATTTAAAACCATGCTCCTCCAAGATGATTCAGACATTTGTCACAGAGGAGCCCTTCATCCAGCTTCTTATAATCAACAACAGGACTCTTGCCTCGCTGTTGTCTAAACTACCCAGCATTCCTTTGCATTTGGAACCATTTGGGGAACCCACATTTGTTTGGGTTTTTTTGCCGTTGGGGTCCCCCCTAAAATTCCTACCAGACAGAAAGGGTCTGGGATCAATTAGGGGGACCCCACCCTTTTTTTAATTGTTTCTGTGGACTGTCAAAAGTTTGTTCTTAATTGTTCTAACGCATCCAAAATTAGCGAGTTTTAGATTCGGACGAATCTAAATAACGAAACAAATTAAGTTTTGGACCCAAATCCCGAAAAAACTAAATAACGAAAAATCCGAAACTAAACACATTATTTTGCCCACGCACATGTCTAAAGGTGCCCGTAAACTTGTTGAATTTCGGCTGGTTTTTAATGTACCGGACGAAATTTGCACAGTGGTGGGCTGTCAGCTCCCTTTCAGCCGGCATTCCTCGATTCTGACAGTTGCTAGCTGTACCTGTAAGAATACAATGTAAACAGCAGGATTCCTTGATTGACATACTGTTTGTGTTGATGGAGGAATCGGGTCAATTTTTTTAGTTCAACCCACTGGTTGAACAAAACAAAAAAAAAGAACACCCAGAAGTCAGGGCAAATCCCAGAGTTAAATCTAAAATCTGGGCTTAACAAATACTGTATAAATACAAGAGCCATGTGTATTGTTGCTTGGATCTTTAAGTCCTTTGTGTATTTCTTCCAGATCTGTGTAGTAATCCAACATGGAACAACTCCTGCACTTTGCCTCTGTGTAGGAGCTTCCTGTAAAAGACCAGTCGCTGGCTGCTCTCTTTCCCTTTGCTGGGTGATTGGTCTCGTATACGCCCCCCTCCTGTAGTTTTCTGCAGGCAGCCTGTAGTGGGTGTACTTGAAAGGAAAGCTTTTGTCACCAGAGTTCAGCTTTAAACATTATTGCCAATGAGGCCCGGAGCTTTCTGCCAAAGGAAGGTTTATATCTCAGTAGCCTATAGACATAGAGAACCTGTTATCCAAAACTCCTCCCATCAACATATCCCACACCTTAAGCCAAGCTGTAATTTGAATAGGAACGTGATAACTTAAGCTGGCCATACGCTATTCAAATTTTGGCGAACTGCTCACTCGGCCAAAATTTGAGCAGTGTGTAGCCCCATTGGCACCCCTCCATTTGACCAAAAAACATTTATTAATATACTTTTGCTGAAGGAGCCAGTCTGATCATTCTCAGCCGAACAGTGACTGCAGCCAATCGAGCATTGTTTTCTTGAGTCAGCAATTGTTCTGGTTCAGCAGGGGCTAAACCTGAAAAATTGTACAGTGTATGGCCAGCTTTTAGAATGAATGACCAAAAACCTTGTATACATCTAGCCTAGGATTTCTATCTAGGATTTCTGTGCAAATAATCAACCAACCGATCCCTTGAGAGAAGGTTTAAATGAGAGATGTGTGCTAAGTTAATAAACATTCAGTCCTGGAATAAACTAACATGCATGTTTATGTGCATATGCACTTATTAATAGTTGGTATGGCTGTTGAGGATTTTTGAGGACTAAATTACAAATTCAAATTATAAACATTTGAACAACAGTTTACAGTGAACAGGTGACTATTTGTGAGTTCTTGTTCACTATGTGAATAAAAATAATTATTAAAAAAATGTTAAATCTGCAATTAGAATGAAAGCACTTTTTGCAGACCTCTTTTTATTTGTTTTTACAGTGACCTTGCTGGCTTGTTATATTCCTTAATGATAATTATTTATTCTATTTTGCTTACTGTATACCAGCTTTGGTCTCAGGAGCCATATAATAAGATAAGAATAAGCTCAGTGTTGTACACATTGATAATCAAATCATGAGAATTGCTAATTTGCTAGTTTCTTTTCCTTGAATATATGCATTAAGATCACTCTGATATATCATTCTGAATCGTGTTTCACAAACTATGATATTATGCAGACTGCACAAGTCAGCGAGCACATGTTGAGGCACATACAAAACAAGGTGCAATTTGCCTTTTATTGCTATTTGCCTTATTTGCACCTTATCGACATCATCCTCCCTATTGCACTCCACCCCAAATGATTTTTTTTCTGAAAAACTCTAGCCGCTAATAGGAAAAGGTTATTTTCATTGCTCCAGAACAGAACTATGGGGCCTATTCACTAAGCTGCCAAAGGATCTAGCTGTAGCTTTGGCTGATCCCCGGCTAGCTTCGGCCCCAGGACCCCTTCGGTTCAGTAGAAACGAAGGGCTGCTGTACCGGCTATTCCCTATAGCCCGTACAGCTCCCGAAGTCGGCCAAGCGGCTCAGTCAAGCTGAAGGCATATGCATCGGCTCGACTGAGCCGTGGTGAAAGGCGAAGCTGGCCGACAGCCTGCTACGGACTGCTGGGCAGAGCCAGCTGTCATCTCACGGCTGGCTCCGGCCACTTGCACAGGCAGATCAGCGTCCCTGGTTAACAGATAGCCCAATTCTCCCGGCTTTCTTCTGATATCGGAGCCATTGGCTGCCATCAGAACAAAAACAAAAATAAGCATAGGAATGCATAGTTACATTTCTATTGGCTATTTCAATTTCTATTGGCTAGAGTTTTTTTTGTTTTTTTTTGACGGCAGCAGAACCACCCGGCCAATAGAAAACAGTTGGGAGGGGCTAGCTGTCAGTGCTAGCTCCACCCAATCATTTTCTATTCTATTATTCTACTTTTTTGAATTATCGAGCAGATTTGCCGAGCCGAATGCCGCTTGGCGGCATTCGGCTATTCACTCACTGCTGTTCGGCATCTATGAGAATAGGCTGAACAGCAGTGAGTAGCCTACCGGAGGTTCAGCTCAGCCGATCCAGATGTTGGATCGGCTGAGTCGAACTCCTGCTGCACTTCGGGTCGGCCATGGGAAGCAGGCCGATGTACGGCTAATTTCAGACGATATAGGGCTGAAATCAGCCGTACCAGCCTGAAGTGAATAGCCGAACAGTGTTCGGCTCACTTCACTTGGGGTCGGTTGTTCACTCGGCTGCCCTCGGCAGCTTAGTGAAACTGAATAGACCCCTATATCTGCAATAAATGTAGTCTGAGAGCGTTTTTTATTTTTCAAGACCCCAGAGTTAAGAGTAATAAACACTGTATTTATGTAAAAAAAAATAGGCATCCAGTACTTACACAAAGTATTCCTTGTCTCACCATAGCAATATAAATATGTTGGACTAAAAGCACAGGATTCTAATCACTAAAGGCATATTAACTAACACTGGGCCGCTGATCTTGATCAATTCTGTAAGATAGATTAAGCTGCATTCACACCTGAATTTTGGAGCATGTTTATTTGTGCATTTTTGCTTTTTTTACACGCTCTCAGGAAACAAGGCCAAGCGACTTGCTCTGATGTGTCCATATCTGAGAATATTTGGCTGTAACAGAAGGCACGTTTTTTTGCTGAGGTCCTGGAGATTGGTACAAGGATGAGTGTCTGCATGCAACACTGGAGCATGGTGAAGGGTTCCTACAGGTTCAGGGTTGCATTCTGCACATAGAATGGGGATTTGGTCAGAATTAATGCTCTCCTCACTGCTGAGAAGTACAGGCAGATACATAGCCACCATGCAATACCATCAGGGGGGCATCTAATTGGTATTGGATTCATTCTGCAGCAGGGCAAAGACCCCAAGCTTTCAAACAAAGTCATAAAGAACCCAGAGCCCGGATTTTAAAATCATTGAGTTTCTCTGGGAACACATGAAAAGACAGAAGTGATTGAAATAACCTAAATCCACAGAACTGTGCTTAGTTCTCCAAGATGTATGGAACAACCTACCTGCCAAGTCACATGAACAGGTGCAAGATGGGGTAGTGCCACTGCTTTCTCTTCCAGTCATCAGCAGCTTCTCTACCAGTGGTCACGTTACAATCTAATTGTACAATCTCTATGCAATATTTAAGATGTGCAAACAGATCAACTGTATATCATGCATTGAAACTGTTCATGCTCCATAATATACAGTCCAACATCATGTGCACAAGAATATAGAAGAAATGCCTATCTAATAATCAAAAGGATGTATAGATAGACAGCTGCTTTTCATTTGTCAGCTTCAGACACCTACGCTACGATCTCTATAATATAAAGAGCTAAAAAATACAGATATACAACATTTGGATATTGTTCTGTTGCTCCTGCTAAAGTGGTCCAGGGGAGTCATGTAATGCATACAGCCATTGCAGCACTTCCCTTCAATACATCAATAAATGAGTATTTTTCTTCCAAATGTTTGTGTACCTTTCCTAGTCCTATTCAGTTGGACCCTGTTAAGTTATTTTTCCTTATTTTGTCTCTAATTTTCCATTAGTTACTCATGTGGTCATCTCTTTCATCTCATTTTTTAGTAGTGAATACTATAGCCTTTGGTGACGTTCATCTTCCGCTATAGATATTTTATTTCTTTTTAAATAATGAACTTTTTTAAACCTTTGGATATAAAATTATTTGCTTGTTATGATTATGTCCTATCATGTAACTGTTATTACATCAACACATTTAGCAGATGCTAGTACTTTATTTTGTTATCTCTGTCTGTGGATGTATTATACTGTATACTTTTACAATTTCAATACTATTACATTAGACAAATGTGTGCACAGGTATGGATCTGACATTATGCGAAATGGCTACTATTTAAATGTATTTATTGTCAAATTTACATGAAATGTATTTTAATAAAGGAGATGTATTTTAGACCAATTTAGTGGTTGTGTACTCCTTTGCTGGGTTCTCTCTATTCTGCCTTTCTCTATTCTGCCTTTCTCTATGCATGATGCAATTGCTGCTCCAGTTTACCACGTGCCTTTAGTCATATACATATTTAATTTTTTAGGAAACTGCGCAAACCTGCTTCTCAGGTAATAAGCAAGCAGAGATGCATTTTGACCAGGTCTGGTTCTTTCTCCAATCTCTGTGTGTTTAACAATAATTCAGTATATGCAATGGATGATCAAAGTTCTCAAAGTAGTAAAATGACAACCAGTAGTCAGTCAGTCAATGTAGCCACTAGGATAGTCCAACCCTCTTGCATCTTGCACTGTGAAGACTGAAAGCAGAATTGGATAATTGTTGGCTAGCTATCGTGGTACAAACCTGTTCACATAGGGCAAGCATGAGCACATGTGCCTATAGGGAGGGCGGAGGAAGTACCTCACAAACATCCCTAGTGGAAGACTCACAGGGGAAAAATGCATCCTTTCCATTCAACTATTTTCCCAAGTCAAGCAAGGGATATCTACCACAGTCAAGTAGGTACCATAATATGTATAGCAGCAGCAGCAGCAGTAATACAGTTTAAATACATAACTTAAAACATAATTGAAACATTCAGTCAAAAAGTGAAAAATTATCTCACCTTTACAAGCAAATGTACCACAAATAAAAGCTGATTTTATGTAAGCCAATTACAATTATTACAGAAATCACTCAGCAGATTGAAACAGGTATTTCAAGACTACTGAAGGGTGCAAATGATTTAATAATGTTCTATACCTGTATACATGTGAAGAGATTCAGAAAAACAAAATACTTAGAGATAAAGAAAAAGGATTTTTAGAAATCTAAAAGTAATAAAGTAAAAAGTACATTAACAAGGGTTTCAGCACTAAGATTCCAAAAATATTACTGGAACATTTTAAAAACAGTTTCAAATAATGAAGTGTTATAAATGTTTCAATAATGTTTAATCATTACTAAAACAGTCCTTCCAGTAACTTAACATTTTGCAATAAATATATTGAACACATCATCAAATATAATTAAAGTTTGATGGCAGTGCAAATTATATACAATAAAATACTTCAATGCTGAAAAAGAATGACACCCTTCTGTTCGTCATGTGAATTTCATCCATTTTAGGTTATGAAGACATAGCACAATCATCGCTGTATGAGCAGCTACGGGTGAGATGAGCTACAGGCAGCCACAACTGAGCACATCATATATAAGACAACAAGATGTAATCATGTTTCAAAACACCTACCCAGGTACTGCTTCATCAGACATCCTACACTATATTCAAAAATGGTACAGAAAGGAAAAGGATGGTTGCTTTTTATCTTGTAAATGTATGTTGGAAAACCTTTACAGACAACCTGCTGATCAGATTAATCTATAAACTACCTAGCTTTGCTAGATCATTGCTAAAAGCAGTAGAGACTGCTTTGCAAAGTGAATGTTCTCTAAGCTTAGTTGAAAGGAAACTGTGATCACTCCAATCAATGGTTATGTACTACCAAACATACTATTATTTTTAATTTCCCTTGCACGTATTTGGGTATTCAAAGTAAACACTTGGAGGGGGCTGAAGCATTGTTAGGTAAATTGCATTGTAACGGTGGAGGGGGAAAAAAAGTATTTAAATGATTTGATGGTTGTTTAATGGTTGGAAAAGCCTTTATATATAAGGTGTTTTGATTCCACTCTATCTGAAAATCCTGGTTAGAGTTCCACTTTAAATAAATCATGTTTACCATTTTTCATTTCATTTATTCTAACACGCAACAAATATAAATATCCAAAACCTGTATTGAACTCCTGTGATCCTCTGCGCAGCATTATCAGGAGAGAGAAGCAGAACTGACTGATGTGAATGTGCACAGATGTGAATGTGCAATGTAAAGCTCTGCATAAATTGTTGGTGCTATATAAATACCTATAATAAATAAACAAATAAATAAACAAACTGTATTGACTAGTGCTGTCCATCTAACTGTGGAAAGTTCCTGGCAGGATGACAGAGTAGAATGAAGAACTGGTCAGTGTGGTTCTTCACTGTCTGCTAGATCAGGCTGACAGGGGTTAACAGCAATAACTGTCTTTAGAAAAGTCTCAGGGAGTGTAGAGGCCATGACACACTGCAGGCGAAGCAGAGCGGAGCGGTGGAGCGCTGCCTTTGCGAGCAGTGTGTCATATAATTTTCTACTGGGCACCTCAGCTGGCGAGAGCTTGCGGAGCTGAGCATGCCGAGATGAACAATTTCAACTTCAGCCAATCGGCTCGCGCGTATAAACCGGCGCGACGGGATGCGACATCTGGCCGGTTGTTACAGACGAGCCGATTGGCTGAAGGTGCAGTCAATCATCTGACTGCACTCAGCTCACACACTGCACGCGAAGCTCCGTGCCGGAGAGCTTTGCTTCGCTCTGCACTGCTTTGCGTGCAGTGTGTCACGGCCTTAAGACATAGCTGTGCTGTCTGGCAGGGGTTCCTGGATCACAAAGTTATATTTACAGAATTGTTAATCCTTTGGACTGTAAGACAGTTCACATATATATTTTTCAACTGTGTATTTACCTGTTTCCTTAGAGTTTAGCATCACAGCATTCTCAATAGAGTGTTAGCATTTTGTAAGAGCCAGCACTGTAGTGCAAGGTGTATTTTCATGCCAGTTGAAGATTAGGGGGCTTTCCTAGTCAATACTGAAAACCTTTGGCCTAACCACCTAATGACAGGTTAATCTGACAGTTAGAATTCAGCAAATATTCCGGCTCATACCTGGCATTTTTACTAAACCTCAAGATTCAAAACTGCTGAATTACTAAATTCCAGTTCTTACAAACATAAATGCTTGCATAGTTCCATACTGACAAAAAAAGAATATCGAGCATCGCCTGATAATTTTTTAACAAAACACATCAATTATTCTCTGATATTACCTATCTGCTGTCATCACTTCTGTTTCATAATTAGTTCATTGATTCAATGAAGGCCCCAAAACTGTATTTGACAGTAGCCAGATTCTGTGTTAGAGTCACACAGGTGCCGTTTGCTCCATCCATGTCTATAAAATAAAGTCACAAGGCTGCTGTACAATTTTACTAGGCCCCTATCATATTATAAACAAGAACTTCCATTGCCCTGTTTACCCTCCGGGCTTTAAATTTTGGATAAACCTGAGACACATTAAAACATTTTTTGCAAATGTTGTAAGTCTGCTAGAGCCTCAGAGAGCAGATAATGGCAGAGGAATCCTGCGCACCCTATACTTTGCCCTGGCCATGGTCACAAAACATTGTGGAGTAGATGAGAAATGAACAGAGGAGGTGAAGACAGCATAGAGAGCTATAAGTCTCCATATGAATGTATGAGCCATACACATTGACATAAATCAGACTCCAAGAAAGTGGAACAGTGCAAACTGATATGCTTTCCAACAACTTTTTTTTTTTTTATACCATCACTATCAGGGTTATTCACAAAAGGGCTAAGAGTTTGGAGAAGGCAGGAGAAGTGAACAATCTAGGACAACATAGCTGAACTGGAAAGTGAGCTGAATTAGAGATTTTTTTCAATCACCTATGTTGTCCTAGATTGTTCTCTTCTCCAAACTCTTCACCATTTTGTGAATAACCCTGTATGTGTACGGCTCATCCATCCGAGGTACTGTATGTTTTGTTCTATACCACACTGTGGCTAACTTTCTTCTACCGTATTTTGTCTCAAAAAGTGGCAGAGAAGAGAGGAGTGAAAGATGTATAAATAATGGGACCAGCACTGTTTCTGAATGTCATCCATGTTACAAATATATACATATATACTCATACATACATATATTCACACACACACATAGAAAGCCCATAAGTGTTCATTACTACCACCCCTTTATTAGTCACAATTTACGTGTGAGAAGATACAACAGTTTCACACCACAAAGGATCCTTTCTAAGGTATAACAAGCATAAATATAAACACTACAGATACTGAACGAAATAATGGTCCAACCGGAAATGCATGTCACATGCATTAATTAGTAGTCATAGTAACAAAGGAAGCATTAGTTGTTAAGATATATGCAAATTGATTAGTAGAGCTTCAGGTTAGGCTTCTACATAGACACATCTGAAAAAAAGGAAAGAGAAAGGACATATATAGTATACCTTAGGAATGATCCTTTGTGATACAAAACTGTTGTATTTACTCACACGTAAATCTCACCTAATAAACTGCACAAGGTGCTGCAGATGAACAGCTGTGGCCTTTCTATATATTGGAGTTGTAGATAAACTCCTTCCTGATGGCTCCGTTTGATGTACATGAGGTAGGTACAGCCTAAATTACAGATTTATTTTATATGTGTATATATATATATATATATATATATATATA